ACTCTGGACACAGGAAATAACACCGCCAATTTTTTTTGCCCGCAGACGACGATGCTAATACCATCTGTCCAGGTAGTTAAGTGCAAGAAAATGCGCAGGAAATGGACAACTTTTCGCTTTCCATCGGTCTTTCATCCCCGTCGCGAAATCAGCGTCTGGATCTGCGCCGCTCGCTCTGCACAGCGTCCCTTGCCAACGTCTCCGTTGTCTATATCTCACGTGCGGCGGTGACGGCGGTAACCTCCCGAGCGCTCTGCACCATCGTTCAGCCCCCCCTCCTTCTCCCGACCCCCCCCCCCCCACCGTTATCCCTCGAGTAAAGCCTCCCAGGTTTTTTCCCTTATCCTTACGCCCCTTTGGCGAAGCACATATGCCCCCCCCCCCCATCGCCGCACACACGCTAGCAGCCAGCTACAGCCTGCGCCTGTTTACGTTAGCCTGACCAAATGATGTCGTAATGTTGGGTCTCTCTTGATCCAGTTTTGCGTGACTTGTAAACACTCTCTCTCTCACACACACACACCTAGATAAAGAACCTCCAGTACTGCTATTTCCAGACTGTCGTGGCAAGTGCTGTTCGCGAAGGAGATATTGGGGTCAGCTCCACGCCTGGCCATTCTTTGTCTCCCCAGGGCTGATGTGGCGGACACGCGCATTTGAGACTGAGTTCACCAAAGGCGCGAGGCCCAGGGGCAGATTCTGATATCACTCGTCACTGATGTTTTCCATGGTCGTGAATCGAACTTGGGCTTCAAAGCGAATCGCGCCACTCGTGTACGCAGGGACAAAGGTCCCATGTCCGGTATGGTCCACTTTGATTGTTGGGGAAAGTGCTGCTAGTGAGCACCTGTTCAGGATAGTACAGCACACGAGAGGGTAGTGTGGCTACTAAAGCTCACACGCCTGACCGCCTTTGTTTCCCAATTGCTTATGTTTTATACACTGCAGCACCCACTCATGTAAGGCTGAGTTAACATAGAGGATGCCCAGAAGTGGTTCACATATCACTGGCCACTGATGTTACTTAGCCTTGGCCAGGAATCAGATTCAAATCGATGGGTTATTATCGCTGTGGTTTAACCACTGTGTCACAAAGGCAAAGACACACACAGACACTCACATCTAGACTGCTCAGCACAATACACACTGTCAAACATGCTGGACAGTTGCAAGGGTTTGGCACTTTGAAACCTGAATTCACCAGTTAAACTAAGCTAAGATTTGTATTTACCAGGTAAGGCCGACTCAGCCGTGTCGCTCTTATTCAGAAGCGACCTGGCTACAAATGATAGCTCAACCAAGTGGCTTAGCACGTGGCAATTTATAACAGCCAAATACTCTAAGAACATGTTTCTAAATGTGGAGGGAAAAACCGGAGGACCCGAATAAAAAACCGCATGCTACCACGGGGAGAGCATGCAAACTCCAAAAATACATCAGGGTCCCGATCGAACCTACGACCTCCTGCATACCAGGCGAGGTGGTTAACATCTCATCACCGGAGGTGCCCAGTTAATCCCGTAGGGCAACATTACCAAAGCAAGCTGACCTGGGTAATGATATTCACATTAGATACCCTGCGATGACGTTCGTTAGAGCAGGCCGCCTCGGCATATCGTCCAGATCAACATATTCAATGTATTCAGCGTGAACCAAATCACAGCAAACAATGAATAACAGCCTCTTCCTTTATATCCATTCAGGTGCAAGGACACCCTGTGCTGAGGCACAAGGCTACACGCACAGCCAAACTGATCATAATAATTGGCCCATTATTAATAGGGGATAGGTGCGGGGTGGGGGTCACGTGACACGCATTGTTTTACATAATAGCCAAGATTTTAAACCGCGCTGGGAACGTGAGCCGTGAATGGCCATCTTGGCCGAATGCTTTCAGCCCAGTCCACTGTTTGTAATTTCCGAGGCTTCGTTAACTGCGAATAAACCGCTGTCAAGGTCCAGGACAGGCGTCTGGCGCTGCCTTATCTGTGGCGTGGGCCAGGCACGGGTCGGCGTAACCGCATCGCTCGACCCCCTGGAACTCGCAGTGCCAAACGAGGGGCACAATTGTCAGCTCATATTGATGGATGTATGTGTGTATGTATGTATGTTAACTACCTTGCCTGGTATACAGGAGGTCGTGGATTCGACCCTGACGCCTGCTGTATATTCGGAGTTTTGCGTGTTCTCCGCATGGTCTCGTGGATTTATTTCCATGTCCTCGGTTTTTCCCTCCACGTTTAGAAATGTGCGTTTAGAGTTTTCGGTTGCTATAAATGTCCACATGATAAGCCAATTCGTTGAGCTATCATTTGTGATAGTCAGGTCGCTTCTGAAAAATAGCTACGTGGTTCAGTGGGCCCTTACCTGGTAAAAGAAAAAAATTTGTTGAGTTTATGTTGAACTTCTTTCGCACCATACGTAGCAAACCGTGGTCTTACATTCAAGCACTATCCAGGGTTAACTCTGACTGGTGCTTTGTTCAAGTGCTACGACTGCATTTAAACTCTTAAATCTTCCTATGCCCTTCTGATATGAGAATCTCGACCAGAATTTTTTTTCTTTTAAGGGGTCTATGTGGGTGTTGAGGAGGGGCACCTGCATTTACTAGGAGGAAGTTTGGTTACAGGTGGTGCTTCATGGTCCAAACGGCCTCCACCTCAGCATCGTTGTCCTCGGGGCGATAGAGGCCACTGCCCGTGTGCTGGCCCCAATCCTTTCACACACTCTGTGAAAATCCTCGTTGTACTAACCACCAATCGTGTCCTCAAACCTGCCCCACTGTTTGATGACCCTGGGACGCAGCAATTATCAAACACCCCCCCACTGCTCCTTGCTCGAAATTCTCCCATCCTCTCCCTGCTTTTACAATCCCCAGGACCCGGCCCTGTCTGCTTTAGATATTTTAAGGCTTAACTGGGACAGTTTTTCGACAACGGGTTACTAATAGTGCCATAGATCACGAGGCCTGATGAATGGCCCGTGTGAGTTAAACCTCCGGAGTGCGGCGTTGCGGGAATGGCAGGGAGCGTTTCTCTCTTGAAGAATGACGAAAAACCGACGACCTCGGTGTGTACTGCGGCGCGTCGGAGCCCCTCTTCCGTTTGGCTACCTCGATCAGCTTCCCACCGCTTCCCACCGCGCCGACAATAGGAAATGTTTTCCATTCAACCTTGCTTTTTAATTAACGCATTAAGGCGCTCATTATACGGCTCCGCTAATCCATTTTCTTCCCCTTCCGTTATGGAATAAACAGCGACGCGCGCACATTGGCTCTCCATTTATTCACCATGCCCGTTGCAGACTTTCCTGACCTTTAATGTCTGGTGAATAGCAATAATTCGAAAGAGCTTTTGGTGATCAGAATGCCACTTGGTATGCCGGGCCTGTTTTCACTACGATCCATCTTCTCTTGTCCGCTGTCCTCTCTCTCTCTCCTGCCCTGTGCTTTTTAGTTTCTGTCCCAGAGAGAGAGAGAGAATTACATTTCTTGTTTTTCTCAAGACCGGCTCTTTTTTTTTCACGCAACCACAGCGGCAAGACTTTGGGCAGGTGTCAAAGCGCAGCGGGAGACCCTCTCGTCAAATTGCGCAGAAATTTGGGAGCTCCGTGTGGCTACGAGATTGATTTAGTTTCATTTCATGGAGCGTGTTTTTGTAAATTTGGCAGTGTGTTTATTTTAATTGCCTACCTACCGTTCTGCAGCTCTCGCAGCCACAGGGCATGCCAAAAAAGCTCGAGCGTGGATTGCGTTTAAGCATGGAACGGAGTCGGTGTTGGTGAGATGATAATTCCGGCTTGGTCTTTGCAAATTTCCCTGAGAGTTTGGGCTCTGCTTGAGTGATAGCGCAGATGACAGCTGGCTTGCTTAATTCGAAACAAAAAAAACAAACCCATCTCACTTATACAATACGAATAAAAATGCACGTATATTTACGTTTTTTTTTACTTCTCTGGAATAATACCACACGTGTTGTATTTGTATAATTGGCATAGAATGGTGAGTGTTTTTCTTCAACTTATTAACATTTATTTTTCTTTCCTAGAAAAGGAAGGCCGCGCACGGTCCGCGGTTAATGAATAGTGAAACAAAACATTTCGTGACGGCCGATGAGCAGTTTATTTAGTCAGTGGCAATCACTCTGTAAACAGATCACGTGACATTAATGCAACAGTGCAGTCACACCTGACGTGTGCGATGCCTTAAGCTGTGAGTGTTGAGGCAGGAGATGATTCACGTAAAAATGGATCAGATGTGTTAGGTGCAGCGTACGAATATAGAAATCGAGACATTTCGCCAACTTAATTTTTCCATAATTAATAATCGTGATATACCAGCCTTTGTCAATCCACTCTGGGAAATAGCCTCCTTATATGGCATGTCAGTCATGGGGTTCGTGTGACCATACTGCACCACACTGTTGTTCGCCACGGCCGGTAATTGAACTTGGGTTGGTAGGTTGCGAATGCGGTGGACTAACCGCTTGAGTTCATAAACAAGCTCCTGGCATGTGGACATTGTGCGACCCGGCGCACGGTAGTGCCCAGATACTTCTGCATTGGTGAATGTGATTTGTAAACCGTCGTCCTTACCCATATATCGATAGTTAGATTTTAATGTGCAATTTTAATTCGGGGACTGTGTGTTATCTTGGGACTCGTTTTGCTGTTGTTATGCTGCCTCGCCCAAGCTTGGTAATTGGTGTACTTCTGTAATTTTAGCTTATATACTTTATTTATCTATTTATTTTGAGTGATTTTGTTATCTTTCCTATACTTTGCACTCCTATCGTGTTTTTGTATTGTTTGTTGTTGTAACTTCATGACCCGCCCCTACTGGACATCCGCGAAAAAGAGCTTTGTAGCTCATCGGATTTCTCCAGTCTAAAAACAAATTCAGTACACACCCAGAAACACATCGCGGGAAGCTACGCAGCAGCACGGCCGTGAAAACCCACGGCAGAGTTCAACCTCACGTCCCCCTGCGCCCCCCTTCCCAGCAGAGCCTGATGGAGGCGACGCTGATCGGCCGTCTGCCCTTACCGGAGCACGCGGTGCCGGAGGAGCCGGGACCCTGTAGCACGACGCCCGGCGACGACTACGGCGGTGAGGATGGCGACGCCGACGCCGCGCCTGCGCACCTGTCGGCCGTCTCGCTGCTGTCGCGTCTCGTGGGTCACCTGCAGAGGGCGGACGAGCGGAGCGGCCGCGCCGACGGAGACGAGGGGACAGCGGCTGAGATCGGCGACTCTGAGGAGCGGGAGGCCGACTCCCGTCTGCTGGGTGAGTGGACATGCGTGCGCATCATTATGATTATCGTGGTTATTCACGGTCCGTCTACTGCTGGATGAAGGCCTGCTCAAGCCGGTATCGTATCTCATGGTGTTTTGTTGCGATGTAACAGTGCACCTTATTGCACCTGTACCTCATCTTTCTCGAGCACCTCTTTCTGTCATCATATTTGGACAGTTTTTTTCGATCGGCGATTGTTTAGTTTTTGACTTTCAAGTATCCCCTTTCTTAGTCATGCAATATTCCTGCGGACCCTGTACTCATCTTCTGCACTGTTGACGTTTTTGTCTTTATTTTGTTGTTGCTGTTGGGCTCACGCACCACGGATCTCCTTTGTAAAATATCCAAGAAATTGGCTTCATGGCATCATCCGTGTAATGAATAAAACATAAAAAAAACTCAAACTCAAACCTAGCACCTCGAATTATGAAATGCAGTTCAAATATAAAGATGTGTCAGTGACCCACTTGCCAGCCTGCAAATGGGGCTCTCAGACAGGCCCCATCCCTGCATGATCCACCGAACCCAACTTCTAATCTCAAATGCACCAACGTTGCACCTCCGCGTTGGATGTACTCTCCGAAAGTCGCTTATTCCGACCGCCGTGCGGCCGTTGTCGGGGTTCATGACATCAGAGTTATCCGCACCTCCGATTAGCTACGCACGGTGCGAAAGAAGTTCAACGTACGTACATAGAGAGTTGTGAATGATTATTTGGTTCTTTCGGTTATGTCACGTCTAAAGATAAAATAATAAATTAAATTAAATAATAGCATACGACGTTTCGATTGCAACACAAGCAATCATCATCAGGTATAATGAAATAGCGACATAAAATCTAACCAGAAAACTATAGACAGACATATTAGCAGACAGATATCACCAAGATACATAGAGAGAGCAACACAGGTAACAGAGAGGGGTGATCGTCTCTGTGGGGTGTCTATTTAAGGCCACCCCACAGAGAGGATCACCCCTCTCTGTTACCTGTGTTGCTCTCTCTATGTATCTTGGTGATATCTGTCTGCTTACATGTCTGTCTATAGTTTTCTGGTTAGATTTTATGTCGCTATTTCATTATACCTGATGATGATTGCTTGTGTTGCAATCGAAACGTCGCATGCTATTATTGAATTTAATTTATTATTTTATCTTTAGATGTGACTTAACCGAAAGAACCAAATAATAATTCCTGCAGTCACGAAAGTTCTAAAATTGAGAGTTGTAAATGACTTGAGGACTGAGTTTCAGGCTGCACGACCATTGGGGGGAAATGTCTATGTGTGACCGTACTTCGCCGTAGTGGACGGTGTGGGTTGTTGAAGGTGCTCACCTGACGTGTAGATCACTCCAATCGCCCTATGGCGACCCCAGGCGGCAGTGCAGACATGGCCAGTGTCAACATAAATTCATCACGACAGGCCTTTTATTTATCTTGACTGTGAGAGGACGATTTTACAGTGAGACTTTGGCACGAGGGCTATGCATTGTGCCGTTTGGCCAAATGCTTTATCGGGAGTGGTTCTCTTGTGGGAGAAAATCGGGAGTATCCATATAAATAAAGACTTATACGTGCAGATAAGACTCAAAAGTCTGTCCACAGTGGGTTACACACAGGAGTGATTCGGTTTTAAGAAATTAGTCCAAGTTTCACTTTAGGCCTCATCATTCTACAAGCTATATATTGCTTTTATTTCCGTATGAGTTTTGTAGGTTCCTAACATTTGTGGAGGCGGCAAGTTGGATGGCGCCGACATAATACTGAGACTCGAAGGTTGGGGTTGGTGGGCTTACAAAGACGGAGGCTGGCTGAGAGAGCCCTACACTTGCCAGGCAACGAGTGGGTTCCAAATCAGAATTAGTATTTACACTGCAGGAGAAATCCGATGAGCTGTCAAGCTCTTTTCCACTGATGTCCTGTCGGGGCGGGTAAGAACTTTACAACAACAAACGGTACAACAACGCGATAGATTAGTGCAAATTACAATATACAACTCAACCATCCCCGTCCTATCAGGCGAAGCCCAGTGAGGTTTCGATTTAAAGCTTTCGTGACTGCAGGGATTCATCTTCTTGGTTCTTTCGGTAAAGTCACGTAGAAGGGAAATAATAAAATAATAAAAATTAAACATAATAAAATATAATTCTCACGACGTTTCGGCCAAAATGTGTTTGCCCAACGCCGCCGCAGCCTTGCCGTATTGTTGTTGTTGCTGCAGCAGCAGCTAATGCAAGCAGCCGTCAGACGCTGTCTTTCCGACAGACCTGTTCTTCACCTGAAGACGGCTGCTTGCGTTGTGGCCGAAATGTCGTCAGAATTATTTTATTATGTTTTATTTTTATTGTTTTATTATTTCCCTTCTACGTGACTTTACCGAAAGAACCAAGAAGATGAACCCACTGAGGTTCTCACTTTTGCAGCAGCAACCTGGCCACAAATGTCAGTGTGCAATTTGAGTTGTAGGCCCCCGGCATTCACATTGGCGCTCATGCCATCCCGTGCGCAGAAAACTACTCCAAAACAGAATTGATCAATCATGCTGAAGCCAGACTCTTTGAAAAATGAATCTTCATAATTAGTGAGGGCTTCCTGAGTAAAATAAAACCTATTGTTTTTTCATGTGTTTCTCTTCCATATGTGGTGCTTCGGCTCTCGATATTATTATTATTTTTATTCTAAAATAAATTCGACATTTTGCAGCACCGGGTTATATATAAAAAAACTACATATATCACATTTTTTGAAATAAAAACGAACGCAGTCATCGCTTGCAAAGGGTACACGGCTTTTAAAAATGTTACGATTAAATCCACGTATGAATGAATGACATGGAGAGATAAATCTATGTCGCACGATTATTATGACTAATTTATTGTATTATCTTCGTTTTCCTTTCCCGTCTCTGATCTCACCATTGCCCTCTAGGGAATTGTGTATCATCGTCTCACTGAAACGCTCATAAAAAGATTCCCCCGAACATTCATATTTCATTCCAAAACCATGTATCCCCAACTCTTCTACGCGTGCACGTACGGTACGAGCGAGTGCGTGCAGTACGAGAGAGTGAGCACATGTGCGTGTGTGTAAGCGTCTGTGGGGAGCGGTAGTGTAGTGGTTCGCGGGCTGTGCTATTAATTTGGCGATCCAAGTTCGATTCCCGCTCACGGCCAACAACACCAGTGACGATTGTCTGAACTGGTCCTGGGCCTCCCCTAGGTTGACTCAGCCTCAAATGAGTACCTGGTGCGGTGTGTAAATATCACCACTGGGGAGACAAAGGGTGTGGTGTTGGCCACCCACCGCCTCGTGTACGTGCCGGCCTTCATAGGTGCTCGCTTACAGCACTTGCCCTAGCATTCTGTCAAGGCTATACGGGGGATTTTTGTCTTTGTGAGCGCCAGTGGAAATTCCATCTGTCTAATCATAATGATTTTATTACATGAAGAGCCCCGTATCGGGGTTCATTTCCCAGTCCTCAGTGATCCATGTTGTAATTCCCAGGACACATCGGTCCTGGGTGCGTCCAATTGAGTTTCGCTAATGATTGATGGCTCCGCATGCTTTTCGCATTAACGTTTCTGCCGGGGCCCGCACCTGACGTGGGCCCCAGCCTGAGCGATCCAGACCTCTGCCTCGTTCTCATTCCCACATGTGGACAAGGACAAAAAAAAAGTTTGACCCCGTACTGTAAGCGCCACTAATAACTTTCCGGCCAAGCAAAAGCAAAGAAGTGGCAGAAATTGCACGCACGTTTGTTTGTTTGTTGTGCCCATGTTGAGAGAGCCTCGGCTGAAGTCGGAGGAGGTCGGGGCGGGGGGCAGAACAAGCGGTGTTTGGAAGAGGAGAGAAATTGCTTTTGCGCTCGCACCGAACAGCGAACGCCCGCCCTTCGGGTGATCACTGTGAGTGGGTGAGCGGGCGAATTAATGAGTGGGTGAGTAAATTATTGAGTGAGCGAGCAAACGAGTGAATTCGTGGTCGCGCACCCATTGTCATCCTGCAGCTACGACCACGGTGGTTGTAAAATTCCCCAGTTTTTTTTTTTATCGCACCCTTTCCCTCTAAACTCTTGAGATGAAGTCGGATTAAATTTCCCCACAGATTTCTCCGATAAAAGTTTTTTCTCTTTCTGTCGTGCTCTCGCCTTCCTTCGACCGCTTGAAATTAAATCTTGAGCCGCGCTCGAGTGCGCGAGGACTTCAAATGCCGCCTTGCCGATACTCATCTGTGTTCGCCGGCTCTCCGTGATTGGCGCGGAGCCGCGGATTGTCTTTGGCAGGCGACCCGCAAACGTACCGGCGCGCGCCGGGCCAAGTTGAATTCTTGCCGACGCAGACGACCGCAAATTGGCCCTCGTTTATTTTCCGTGCGCGCCATTTAATGAATGCTGCCCCCCCCCCACCACGCTCCCCCTACCCCCCCCACCACGCTTCCCCCCCCCCACCTGCACCAAAAGCCCGCGCCTGCCTCCACCGGCACCTTCGCCGCCCGCGGCTAAACGTGCGTGCGGCACGCGCTCGGGAACATTTACAAGGCTACAAATCTCAGCCTACGGGCGTGCGCGGGGTGGATATCAAAGCAGGTGTCCGCCGCGTGAAATCGGACACTTCATTGTCACTCCAGGAGGGCCTCCTTTGCGCGGAATAAGACGGAACTTGAAAAAGCGACGCGCTCCATTATAACTCGCAACTCGACTCCAGACTCTTTAACTTTTCACGGAATCCCAGCCCAAACTCTGACCCTATATTTTAACATGATTTGATGTGTGACTGTGACCTGCACGTATAGTAGGCCTTAGGCTGTTTCACTTGTTTTTCCGTGAGTAAATGCGCCGGTTGCCATCATTGGGGCCCCCGTTGACCCTAAAGCGAGTCATCATTGTGTGGTCGCAAGCTCCTGCATGGGGTTCTGTTATTGTGCAAATACGTCTTTGCCCAGGGGGCAATCAGGGAAAGAAAACAGTGTCGCAGATCGAATTGAGCAAATTAAT